GCTTTAGCACAATGAAACAACAGCACGCGAGGTCATTTAGTCGCCACATTACGTATACGTCTAGTTGCGCTCGTAAATGAAAATGCAATTGTTTAAACAAATATGTTTGCTTAGCGCTTTTTGTCTTTTCTGTTATTTAAGTTTTTTTTTAATTTTTTTTTACACGCGCTGCTCACAGCTCGCTGCGCGTTGCTCGTAGCTCGGTTAATTTATTCAGTTGCACGGCCCATTTGTCGGCTTTTTCTATACGTATTTGTTTTGGCTTAAAGGTCTTTGTGTTTGTTGTTGTTGTTGTTACTGTTGCTGCTGCTGTTGTTTGCGGTTGCTGTTACGGAATGTGTGTCAAACGAATACGACACTTGACAGAGTCACATAAAAATATCCGTTACAGCTGAATGCACGCACGCATTCGCATTGATGATCATCGATTGAAAATGTTCAGATGTTCAAATCAAAGTATATAATATATATACATATATGTGTATATATGTGTTAGGGGTATTATCTAGAACTTATCATACATATACAATACAATATAAGTTGTATACAATATATGTTGGCTAAACATTTTTTTAATATTTTTTTTGAATAATAATGATATATATATGCTTAAAATTTTAATTAATATTTAATTTTTTTTTTTTTATTTTGTTTTCAATTTGTTTTTCCAGTTTTGTATTATTTTTCTCTTTTTTTTTTTTTAAAAAAATCCATGAAAAAAAACATGTTAGAAATTTAATACTAATAAATGCTTTTTTTTTATTTATATAAATGAGCACATACATACACACATTTATAAAAGTTTTATTATTTTTTTTACCGCTAATCTTATCAATATTATGCTGGGCTATCAAACCTACAAATTAATTTTTTTTTTATAACTAAAATGAATTTTCAGTTGATAAACACATAAATTAAGATTTCTGTTTTTTTTCCTGCTTACTGAACTGACGTACCCCACTCGAAGGTCACTTTTGAATCCAATTTTTTTTGTTTATTGCAAAGGTTTTTTTCGCTCATGTTGCTGTTTGATTTCGTTTTTTTTTTTTTTTTTTTTTTCAAACTCTCGAAACTGGGTAACGAGAGCAGATGCCAATCAGAGTTCATTATTCATAATTTCCGTTGAGCGCAATGCGCACCAATTTGTTTTCCTTTTTTTTTCCTATTTATCGTTTTTGTTTGCTTATTTTTGCTTGCAACGGGTCTGTTGATATTGTAATGGGGCAAGGAATGAAAGGGATCGGCTTTTTTTGGAAAGTGTATTGAAGTCTACATTCATTCATTAATAATAGCAAATAAAAATATGAATGTAAATTTAAAATAAAAAGGAAATGAAAAATAGAATAATATTAAAAGATCTTTGAAAGGCTGAAAACACTTCTAATCTATTCTGCATAACTATTATAAATATATCAAATTATATGTACATATATCTATATTTTTATTGAATTAATTTTGTAGAGTTTAATAAAAATGCTTAATTAGTTTAATAAATATTAACAAAATTTTGTTTTCAACTATTCTATTTAAAATTCAGCTTAATCCTCTTCATTTAGAGCATCTAAAATTTGCCCTATATTTATATTTATTTTTCTCTCGGCTGTCGCGATTACAAATGCATGAGCTGCGCTTTTAGCCTGAAACAGCTGTTGACTGCTTTTTTAGTGTTTATTTATTTATTTTATTTTATTTTTTTTTGCGAGTGAAGCTCAATTGGTGACATTTTTGCGCTTTACTGCTAAATGGGTTTACGTCATGCATCTAATTTTAGCTAATTTATTGCAATGCGAGTATTGTCTATTTGTTGTTGCCGCTGTTGCTGCTGCTGCTGTTGTTGTTGCTGTTAGTATTAGTTAACTTTTTGCATTGGACGGCTGTCAGTTGAAAGCTGTGAGTGAAGCCACGCGGTTAGCTGCGATCGGAAGATCTCTCGCTCTTTCTTCCCCCCTCTCGCTCTTTCTTTGGCGCTCATTGTCTCTCGTTTTTGTGTGGGCCTGGCATTGACAAATATCTATATACATACATATATATTTGGTTGGATAATGCGAACCATTTATCAACGCACGCAGACGATATCGCTTGACCCAATTTCCATTTATTAATAATCCCAAAAAGATTATAGCACCGGGAATAATAGACAGCTGCAATCAATGGGTGAGTGTGTACGTCCGTGCGTCTCTCCGTCTCTCTGTTTGTCTGTTTGTCTTGTGACATCATCTCGGCGAGCAAACAGAAGTCTCTAGCGGCTTTTATCACATGCGCCCGGCCAGCCTATGTAAGCTGCATGTTGTTGTGACTCTCGATAACGATCATGCGGTAACCAACAACAACACCAACAGCAGCAACAACAACAACAACAACAACAGCAGCAACAATCAACAGCATCAACAACAAGAAAACTTGCTGCCTCTTCCTGACCATGACTCGACTTTCATATCTTCTCACAGCACTCAATGCATGCAGGAAGCTGCATGCAGATGGAAACTGCTTATCATGTGCCCCATTTGGTTATTGATATGTGTTTAATACCCGTTTTTGGTTTTGCTCGCCTTGCTTGCCTCAGATGCGCCCTCTCGATGCGCCTTTACCGTTATGATGCTTGTTGCTTCCTGTGCATATATGTTGCTGCTGCTGCTGCTGCTGCCTATGCTGATTTTAACCTCATTTCTGGCGGGGCACGCAACCTGTGGCAGGCAGCCTGTTGGCAGCAAGCTTGGCTGACCCAATTGTCAGGGCTGTCTCAGCTGAAAGTTTCGCCTCGAGCGAAACAAAAAAAACAACAGCCAACACCTCTAATCAAAAATTCATTAAACATGATTTTTTTCTTTTTCTTTTTGCATAATGTAATCGGATTTGTATATAGAGATAGTGAACCGGTTTACGAATGTTTTGTTTCTCTCTAATTAATCACCAGAGTTCGCTCACAATTTCTCTAATTCTCTCTGTTTGTCTCTTTGCAGCACCCACGATGAAGGCAAGCACTCGAATTTTATGCACGGCGCTGCACCTAATTGTAAGTATAGAGATTATGTTAATATATAGAGAATAGAGTCATTAGATACTCGATATTTATAGGAAGAAGTCATGCGGATAATATATCCGATATATATTTTGCTTCGGTATATCTGATGCCAACTTCTACTTAGGTTAAATTGGGGAAGAGTAAATGATCATAATTCCTTTAATTCTAGAGTCTAGCCTCCTCTCTCTCTTTTGTTGTACCTATATAGACTGAAATATATTTGGGCTAACTTCCAGCTCATACAAGAATTTAAAGAAATTCCTTTTGTCTCCCCATCTAGCTAAAAGGTTTCTGAACTACCCCATAATTCAATTCTACCAACTCCAGATACCAGCAGCACGATATAATCTCAAGAACAACCCTATATACATATCTCACTTTTAATTAAATAAACTTGGAGCACTCATTGTCTGACCTCATTCCCTAAAAAAAAGAGAAAAAAATAGAAAAATTGGCTAAACACATCAATCAGAGTCCAGAGGCTGTGAATGACAATTGGCTGGCCTCTGTGAGATTAACCTGAATATGAGCCCGGCAACAGCGCCAAGCTGCACTCCGCTGCACCGCATCGTCCATTGATGCCGTGCCAAGTTGCCAAAAGTGGCACAGACTCTGGCAGCTTGGAGTTGGCTGAAAGCTCTTCCATGCCGCGATTCTAAGCCGGCTTGGCTTAGTCTCAGCCTCCGTCTGAGCCGCCACTCGGGGAGGCACAGTTTGAATTTCAACTCTAACCCGGCGCGAGCTGCTGTTGGCGAAAGTTTCCTTTTTTTTTTTTTTGGCTGCATTTTCGCCTTTAGAATCGTGAGAATAATGTTGCCCATATATACATAGAGCCAGCCCCCTCTCCCTCGCTATCTCTGTCTGCCTTTCTGTGCACGAATATCTTGGCGCATTTCTCTGCATTTCCATTTTAATTAAAGGAGCTCAGCTCTGCAGCCTGCAGAGTTGCATAGATTAGTGTGGCATTAATGTCGGCTCGATCGTGATTTATGTCAACAGCTTTATGGTCGCCCCCCGTTTGTCTAGCTAATGAACATTCTTCTAATCTCTATCCACTTTCTATTGCAGACAATCGCAGCTCTAGCGACACACGGCGCACAGATTCCAGCACCAGAGAGTAAGTGCATTAATCTTCCCTAAATAACTAGTTGTGTATTAAGTAGTTAGAATTAACATTGAAATTGTGTATATTAAAATTAGTTACTAACCTTTGCATATATTTACACAAATTTAAATTTTATTTTATTTGATTTAAAGCAGTATAAAAACTAATTTAACCTTGCAATTTTTTTTTATAAATTTTTAAATATATCCTTTGCATATATTAATAAATTTTTTTTTTTAATTGTAACTTATTTGAATTATTAAAAGTAATATCATAACTAATTAATTTTTTTTTATAAATTTTTAAATATATCCTTTGCATATATTAA